TCCATGAAATAATTAATGGTGGACATCCTCACTCTTTGCATGAGGATGTCCAGCATGTTTCAATTCCCCATAGTAAAGCATAGATTCACATGCACATTAGGTTCCCACATCAGCATAACGTCCTGGGAGGACCTCGGCGCTGGAAGAAACAGGCAACTGGATGAGTTTTTAGGCATTTTATCGCCAAGTCGGGGGGTAGAGAGGGGAGAGAGGGCAGGGGTAGAGGGACAATATAGCATTAGGAATAGAATTTATAGTGTTCTTTTGAACTCAAAATTGCAGAAATTTTAAAAACAAACAGTTGATTTGAGAAATTCTGCATCTCATCTGTGGTCAGAGGTTGGCTATTTTAGACTTAATTTTCCAACAGTTAAGTGAATAAATAAGCAACTAAGTCAGCTTTTTTCCTTTATATTGTCCTATTCTACCCTGTTTCCACCATATCCTGCTAATCAGATGTCAGCAAGACAATGGGAAAAATACAAGGTCATTTATAAAGTGTCATTTTCACTTTTATGGCTACTTCAAATATGCATTTTTTCTATTAAAGAAAAAAAAATGTAGTAGGTCTTCAATCATGAAAATGATACATGTAATTCATTGAATTGTAAACATACATTGTATCAGAGGTACCATTCACTTATCTGTCGCAATGTTTTTTGTAGGTTTAAAGTGAATGTAATATCCCAAAATGTGACCTATTAAAGGGACCCTCCACCGCCCAGATACAAAAAAAAAAAAAAGGCAAACATTAAAACATGCATGTATTTAACCCCTTAAGGACTGAGCCAGTTGTACAAGTTGTGATCAAAACAAAACGTAAACAAAACCTGGCATTTGCGCTACATGTTTTTTCAGGCGTAATTCACCTCTTTTATTTCATTAAATGCACCCACACTCATTATATATCATTTTGTTCAGGAGAAACAGGACTTTCATGTCACATCAAATATTTATATATTGAACATAATTCAATATGAATAAAATGTAAAAAAAAAAATGTGAAAAATTAAGATTTTTCTTAATTCTTTTAGTTCTGCATGGCATTTTAACTGTGAATGTCATAATACTATTAGCTGTTACTAGCAATAAAATGCACATATTTGTATTCAGTGAAAAATAGCACCCTCAAGTACATGTTTATAGTGTTTTGGAAAGTTACAGGATAAAATTTAGCACATTACATTTTTTTAGTTTATACACATTGATATTTGCCAGACTGGTTATGTTGCCTTTGAGACCGTATGGTAGCCCAGGAATGAAAATTACCCCCATGATAGTATACCATTTGCAAAAGTAGACAACCCAATGTATTGCAAAGGGGGGTCCAGTCTTTTTTAGTAGCCACAGCATTCTAATTTGTATGTGTGTGAAAAATACCAAAAAAACTGATTTGTACGCTAATTTTGGCCAGTGTTTGAGACATTCACAGTTAAAATGCCACGCAGAACAAATTTGTTTTGAAAAAAATCTTAATTTTTCACATTGTTTTAAATTTTATTCATATTAAATTGTGTTTAATGTATAAATAGAGTTTTTATGTAATATTTCTGTTAGATTGCAGGAGTGTGTTTGTATGGTGTGCCGGTGTATGCCTGCTTAGATGTATGCACATACACTACCACATACATACATACATACATACTTACACAGATATACATACACACAAATTCATATACAAACACACACATATACTGAACAACATTATAAACACAACACTTTTGTTTTTGCATCCATCTTTCATGAGCTGAACTCAAAGATCTAAGACTTTTTCTATGTACACAAAAGGCCTATTTCTCTCAAATATTGTTAAGAAATCTCTCTCCTATGCTGAGATAATCCATCTACCTCACAGGTGTGGCATATCAAGCTGCTAATTAGACAGCGTGATTATTGCACAGGTGTGCCTTAGGCTGGCCACAATAATAGGCCACACTAAAATGTGCAGTTTTACTGTATTAGGGTGGCTGGGGGGGGGGTCTGAAAATCAGTCAGTATTTGGTGTGACCACCATTTGCCTCACGCAGTGCAACACATCTCCTTCACATAGAGTTGATCAGGTTGTTGATTGTGGCCTGTGGAATGTTGGTCCATTCCTCTTCAATGGCTGTGTGAAGTTGCTGGATATTGGCAGGACATGGAACACGCTGACGTATACCCTAATCCAGAGCATCCCAAACATGCTCGATGGGTGACATGTCTGGTGAGTATGCTTGCCATGCAAGAACTGGGATGTTTTCAGCTTCCAGGAATTGTGTATAGATCCTTGCAACATGGGGCCATGCATTATCATGCTGCAACATGAGGTGATGGTTGTGGATGAATGGCACAACAATGGGCCTCAGGATCTCGTCACGGTATCTCTCTGCATTCAAAATGCCATCAATAAAATGCACTTGTGTTCGTTGTCCATAACATACACCCACATCATAACCTCACCGCCACCATTGGCCAGTCGATCCACAACATTGACATCAGCAAACCGCTCACGCACACAATGCTATACACGCTGTCTGCCATATGCCCTGTATAGTGAAAACCGGGATTCATCTGTAAAAAGAACACCTCTCTAAAGTGCCAGATGCCATTGAATGTGAGCATTCACCCACTCAAGTCTGTTATTGTGCAGAAATTATTTGCTTATTCAAGCCGATTGTTGCAGCAGGTGTCCGGGTAGCTGGTTTCAGATGGTCTTGGAGGTAAAGATGCTTGCTGGATGTGGAAATCCTGGGCTGGTGTGGTTACACGTGGTTTGAAGTTGTGAGGCCGGTTGGATGTACTGCCAAATTCTCTGAAACACCTTTGGAGATAGCTCATGGCAGAGAAATGAACATTCAATTCATGGGAAACCGCTCTGGTGGACATTCCTGCAGTCAGCATGCCAATTGCACTATCCCTCAAAACATCTGTGGCATTGTGCTGTGTGATAAAACTGCACATTTTAGGGTGGCCTTTTATTGTGGCCAGCCTAAGGCACACCTGTGCCATAATCATGCTGTCTAATCAGCATCTTCATATGCCACACCTGTGAGGTGGATGGATTATCTCGGCATAGGATAAGTGCTCACTAACACAGATTTAGATAGATTTGTGAACAATATTTGAGAGAAATAGGCATTTTGTGTACATAGAAAAAGTCTTAGATCTTTGACTTCAGCTCATGAAAAATGGGAGCAAAAACAAAAGTGTTGCATTTATAATTTTGTTCAGTGTAGATAAACACCGACACATACACACACACCTTAACACACGCATACACTGACCTATACACACACACACACATTGTGACACACACAAACATTGATACATGCACACACCTTGATACAGATACACACACTGACATAAAAACTAACATCCTGACACACAGATGCAAATACACAGGTGCATATCTTGACACACAGATGTGTGCACACAGACACACACACAGATGCACACCCTGACACACACATACATACACACAGATGCACAACCTGGCACCCATACACAGTTGCACAACCTGAAACACACACACACACATAGAAACACACCAACACATAGATTTACCTTAACACATGCATACACTGGCCTATACACACACACACACACACGCACCCTGACATACACAAACATTAATACATGCACACACCTTGATACAGATACACACACTGACATAAAAACTAACATCCTGACACACAGATGCACATACACAGGTGCATATCATGACACACAGATTTGTGCGCGCACACACACACACAGATGCACATCCTGACACACACACACAGATGCACACCCTGACACATACACACACACACAGATGCACACCCTGACACAACACAACACACACTAATACACACACACACACACACACATGCGCTCATACACACACTCAAATTATATTTTTTATATCTCCAGCAACCCACCTGTTAGCTTACCTTATGTGTCCAGGAGGTTGGCTTGGAGTCCTTGTCCTGCTGCTGCTGGTGGGAGTGAAGGGTCTGGAGCAGCTCCTGGAGTGCTCCTCTCCCTCCCGCGCTGTCTCCCTGCATGATGATGGGAGGAAGTGACAGGTTATCACTTCCTCCCCAGCCAGCCAATGTTACACAGGCCCAATCGCGGTCTTAAAGGATTACGGCACCTGACCGGGACCTGTTCAGCATTAATGTTTCACGGTACTATAATCACAACACCCGGGAAATATTCAGCCAGCGCCCCTGTGTGCCTGTCGCGGCGTCCCAGGAACGGCTGCTTTAACCTATTCGTACAAAAGCAAACCTTTGTGAATCAAGATTTAAGTATTCACTTTTGGATCTTTAAACATTATTTCAGACATTATCTTTTCCCACCATTCAATAAAGACATTTTTTTTCCTGTTAAACATTAAAGGAATTTGAAACCTATTTGATTAGCACAAATATACTTAGCTTTACAAACAATCCCAACATATATCTTGTGATTCTTTGAATACTATGATCTTGTGCATATTTCATTATTGTTCTGTTTAGTATGTTAACTATGATGAATGTTTATGCTTCTTTGTTTAAAAAAATGTACTTGAAAAAATAAATAGAGGTCGATTACAAAAAAGTCACTAAACTAGCCTTAAAGAGGCATTTATCACACTTAGAGCAGCATGTATTTCAGCACAGATTGCATTCATATTAGGAATAAAAAATGGATGTTAAGGTTGTGTTGTTGCACATTATAGACAAATAAATATATTCTTCTTCACCAAAAATAAATAAATGAAAATATGTAAACACACATTATACCTCCCAGCATTTCATATAGACAAAGACTGTGTGTGCGAGCGTGAGTGTGGGTGGGGGTCTGTAATGTAAAATTTCAGGTGGTTTACTAATAGCAATTTTTGCAGCTAAAATGTAATTTAAACTAAAAACAGGGCGCAAGAGATCAGACAAAAACTCAAATAGATTGCCCTTCAGTGGGTCTACATTCAGTTATCAAACTGATTTTTGCTCATCTTGTGGCATTACATAGAGAACCTAAACCAGCTGCACATCAGACTGATCGCACATAATTTCAAAACTCAGGCCAACTCCCTTTAAAATGTAACTTTGGACAAGAACATTTTCACAGACTTATTTCTAAACACATTTTTTGTAGTTTAAATACACAATACTGGAGTATTATTGCTGTGGAGCTCACTTATACACTCAGACACACCAACAATATGGAACTCCTGGAAATGATGAACATTCGGAGTTGGGCCCAAGATAGGGACTGTCCTTTCTATATAAGGACATTTGGGAGGCAACCCACACAACAGTATTGCAGTGTGCAATGAAACCTTTTATATTGAACTAACACAATATATAAAAGACAAGCGTCCTTCTCCCGCCTTGGATGGTTGCTTGAGTCTTCAGATCAGGAAAAATCTAGAAAGCTTATTTTTATAAATATTGTGTTAAATCAGTAGAGGGTATCTATCTATCTATCTATCTACAAAGCTGTACTCACCTGAATATACATACATTATAAGGGTGCTGCTTTGGCCAATTAATACAACAAGATCCAGCACACTCATTCATTAAACACCAACTTTAAAGCTCACAGAATATATTTTAATTTGAAACATTTGACTTCAGCAAAAATAATGGGGGTTTAGTTTCAGTATATGATCATACATGGCATAAGTATGCCACAACGCCAATGAATGCAATTTTTGGCGGGTCCTATCCTAGCAAAAAATACCTGCTCTTATGGGGTTTAACCAATATACTTGTTAAACTCTTCCTTCTGGAACTCTTTGCAGTGCAATATTAAATATGGCCCGGGAATGAGGCACCTGTGACAGGGTTGGGTGCAATGCCATTGGAGTTGGTCTGGACTCACAAATATATTTATGTATTTTGTATATATGTAGGTATATACACACACGTTTAATATTTCCTTTTATTTTATGTTATATTGAGTGTATTTTAACCTCACACCCTACTCTTGAAATTAATTTTAACTGGTAGGCATAAAGTACATAAAAATTCTGCCTCGTCATAAAAACACCCATATGGTACCAAGTCAGAAATGGATATTTCAAGATCTCTCTTCAACACTGTAAAGAATGACAGTGCAGAAAGTGGAGTAATTTCTGGTTTGCAATTCCATGATATTGAAAAGCCACAGAATGAGCCCTGCCCAGTCAAATTCCAGATAATGCATTTTCATCTAACATGAATGTTTCAGTTAAAACATATTTTAAAATAGTCAAGAGCAACAAAGTATTTTGTGGTTTAAAGTAGTTAAGTGGTTTTGAAAATATAATTTTTTTTTTTAACAACACACTTTCATTATATGCACTACGCATAGCACATAATATGTCCCAGGAGTATCTGTTTGGTCTCCTCTATTTGATATGGTTTTAAATATTTGTAAGCCATTTTGCAACAATTGTGAACAATTTAATTCTTTTTATATTTTTTGTTTTTATATATCCTATGTGTCCATACATCAGTGTCGCAGAAGAGACAATAGCAACATTGTATTTCATAGCAGAGGATAGTGAGTAAGGTCTTATTTGCCACAGATTCCATCAGTAAACATGGACATCAGGAGCAATTGTGAGGAAATTGTTGGTATCAATAGAATTTGTTACAAGAGATGCTTAATTTATGAATTGTCCTTATGCTGTAGAGAGTGTATGACATTTTCTCTCTAGGGCCCATCTCAGGTTAGTTTGGGTAATACTGTAGTAAGAGGCCTGGCCACTGGGGGCAGTGTGCCAGAAGGAAGCATACTGCTCACTTCAATATGTGCTGATGTTGGTGTGGGGACGACGCAGGTCACTTGTCACACTATTGACAGCGTATGTCCAATAGTCCTTCCTGCAAAGCTTTCTGTACAGAACAAAACTCTCTTTGGCTGAGAAGAGGAAAAAGACAGAAAGGGATTAAAAAATACTATCTAAAATACAAGAGCAGTATGGGAGGCAGAGAAAAGGACCGGCGAGAGAGTGTAACAAATAAACAAGAAAAATAAAAGGTGGAGTGACACAAAAATAAGATGGTGTGAAAAGACCAAAAAGTGAAACAATAGAGAGTATAGAGAAAGACACAGGTAAGTGAAAAGATTAAGAAAGAGATGGTGTGGTAAATCCCCCCCAAAAAATTGCCAATGGATAGGAATGGATGACATAGTGGATAGCAAATGACAAAACAAAATATTAATGGTTCCTTTAATAAAAATATTAATAATAATATTAATAATAATGTACTAATAGATAAACTGTTTTGAGACTCTTATCTGAAACAGAAGCTAATAAACAGATGTTACCACAAACCAGCTCAACAGCAGAATTTATTAAAATTGATGTTGGATGAATGGTGGAAAACAGTGCATGGTAGTGGGAGTAGAAATTCCCCAGGGCCAGATTAAGGCCTGGTGCTGACAATTATGATGGACCTAATTACAAAATCTTATTGACCAAAAACACTAAAACAGTCCTACTTCCCAAGCGTCATGTATCTGATGGAGATGGTGCTGGAGGGAAACTCATAGGATGCAGCTATGAGAAAACACATACCCTATGCTAATCTCACGTTTTCACCTTTCAAGTAAATCCATACCCCCTAACAGCAGTGTCCAGTAAAGCAGGATTTCAGTGGGTGGGGTAAAAGGGTGTGCCACTGACGTGAATCATGTAACCAGAACTGCCGAAAGGGACGAACATACCCAAAAAGGGGCATGTCTGCCCAAAGAATTGGTAGGCCAGCCTGGCATGAATGCGTGTTAGGCTGCCTGCCAGTCATGCAGGCCGGCCAACTAAGGGCATACTATGCAGACAGCACCTTGAGCTTGGCATAAATGCACACTTTCTAAGGACTGTCCCCTAGCAGTCACGTTCTCCTGGTATATAGTCTGGGACAGAGAAAAGGTGTATGCAGTGAGTGTAGAAGAAAGGGAACATGCCACAGTGTCAGAGAGACCAAAGTCAACATTACCTTAACCTATTTCATTGTCAGCCAGTCCACACAAGTTTTGTTCTTCTACATCCCTCTTAAGTTTCCATACTAAAGCAAAATTATGCGAAAAGTAGTTAGGGCTGCCACTTTTCTTGGGAAAAAAAAACCCTACTACTTTACAAATTTGCATAATAAATTTTGTATGCTTGACATCACATGATGTAAATCACAAGGAGTGACATAAGAGATAATTCTGTAAAATCACCAAAAAACTACTTACAGTTTGATTCTACTGTATAAATGGATTGTTCCCAGTGTCTCTCTGTCTCAGTCTCCAAGGTCTCCCAGTGTCTCAGTGTACCTATGTATCATAGTGTCCCCATGTCTCCCATTGTCCACTAGTGTCCCCATGTCTTCCAGTATACCCTAGTCTCCCAGTCCCCTAATCTCCCAGGTCTCCAGTGTCCTCTGTGTATATCACAGTGTCTCAGTGCCCCATGTCTCCCAGTGTCCCCTCGTGTCTCAAAGTAGTCCAGTGTCCCCATGTCTCCCAGTGTCCTTAGTGTCAGTGTCCCCATGTTGCCCAGAGTCTGTGTCCCCATGTCTTCCAGTATCCCCTAGTCTCCCAGTTTCTCAGTGTACCCTAGTGTCTCTGTCCGCAGGTATCCAGTGTCCTCTGTGTATCACAATGTCTCAGTGCCCCATGACTCCCAGTGTCCCCTCGTGTCTCAAAGTCACCCAGTATCCCCATGTCTCTCAGTGTCCCCTAGTGTCTCAGTGACCCCTAGTGTCTGTGTCCCCATGTCTCCCAGTGTCCTTAGTGTCAGTGTCCCCATGTTGCCCAGAGTCTGTGTCCCGATGTCTTCCAGTATCTTCTAATCTCCCAATCCCCTAATCTCCCAGTTTCTCAGTGTCAAGAGATGCTTGACAGTGTCTCTGTCCCCAGGTATCCAGTGTATCACTGTGTCTCAGTGCCCCATGTCTCCCAGTGTCCCCTCATGTCTCAAAGTCACCCAGTATCCCCATGTCTCTCAGTGTCCCCTAGTGTCTCAGTGACCCCTAGTGTCTGTGTCCCCATGTCTCCCAGTGTCCTTAGTGTCAGTGTCCCCATGTTGCCCACAGTCTGTGTCCCGATGTCTTCCAGTATCTTCTAATCTCCCAATCCCCTAATCTCCCAGTTTCTCAGTGTCAAGAGATGCTTGACAGTGTCTCTGTCCCCAGGTATCCAGTGTCCCCTGTGTATCACTGTGTCTCAGTGCCCCATGTCTCCCAGTGTCCCCTCGTGTCTCAAAGTTGCCCAGTGTTCCCATGTCTCCCCCAGTGTCCCCATGTCTCTGTGTCCCCTGGCGTTTCAGTGTCCCTTAGTGTCTGTGTCCCCTATGTCTCCAAGTGTCCCTTAGTGTCTGTCCCCGTGTCTCCCAGTGTCCCCATGTCACTAGGAAACATGGAGAGACATTGAAACACTGTGAGACATGGGGACACTGAGACACTTGGGGACACTGGAAGACATGGAGACACTGGGGGAGACATGGGAACACTGAGTGACTTTGAGACACAAGGGGACACTAGGAGACATGGGGCACTGACACACTGTGATACATATGGGACACTGTGATACATAGGGGGCACTGGAGATGTGATAAAGACCTGGGTACAGGTCAAAACGTTGCGGTGTCCACTAAACCTGCATAAATCTATCACAGTGAGTGCCTGAGCTTTATTCTTTTATACTAGGGGACACTGGGAGACTAGGAGACTCTGGGTGATTAGGAAACACTGAGACAGTAGGGACACTGAGACACACCAGGGACACTGGGAGACATGGGGACAATAAGACACCAGGGACACTGGCTGGGAGACATAGGGACACTGGGAGTGCCCTATGTTTCCCAGGTCTCAAAGTCAACCAGTGTCCCCTTGTCTCTCAGTGTCCCCATGTCGCCCAGTGTATCATGGTGTCCTCTGTGTATATCACAGTGTCTTAGTGCCCCATGTCTCCCAGTGTCCCCTCATGTCTCAAAGTCGTCCAGTGTCTCAGTGACCCCTAGTGCTTGTGTCCCCATGTCTCCCAGTGTCCTTTAGTGTCTGTGTCCCCATGTCCCCCAGTGTCCCCATGTCTCTAGGGCACTAGGGGACACTGAGAGACATTGGGACATTGAGACACTAGGGGGCACTGGGAGACCTGAGGACACTGGGAGACATAGGGACACTGAGACACTAGGGGACACTGAGACACTTGGGGACTCTGGGAGACTGGGGCAGTGAGTCACTAGGGACACTGTGAGGCATGGGGACACTGAGACACTAGGGCCACTTGC